AGCCTGGTTCTGCCAGAGGTTTCTCCCTGTTAATGAGGGAGTTTTTCCTCTCAACAGTCGCCTGTGCTTGCTCATTGTGGGAACTGTTGGGTTTCTCTATGTTACTATTGTTTTAAGGTCTTGACCTTTAAATGTAAAGTGCCTTGAGATAATGTAAATTATGAATTGGCGCTATATAAATAAAATTGAATTGAATATTAGTGAATCAGGCCCAATATGTGCACTTGTGCGCTAACTAATGCGTGCAAACATTCTGGAGATGGGAAAATGACAATGCAGACGTGTGGAGGTGAACTGAAGCCAGATTATTGATCCATACCAACAGCGTTAGTTGCGCCTCGCGAACTGTTCCTTAAGAATCTTCAATGAAAAAAGATATAAGACAACAGCATATTACATTCAGTTACCATTAAACAGCAGAGTTGCAGAGCCGAGTCAATAATAGTTTTAAATAATATCTAACACTGTGCGTGTATCATCAAGAATTACTTTAGTTTCCACAGAGTGTGTTTGTGTGTTTAAAATCCCTGTAGTGAACATGACTGTGCCATCAGGTGCACAGAGCGCAGTGGAGATTACTTACAAATCTCCCCAAAAAAACATTCACTTTCAAACTTCCATTTCCAAATAATATCCCAGTGTGGAGATTAGGATCCCACTGATGTTTGAAGTAGGGCTGTCAGTTTAGCGCGTTAATTAGATTACTTAATTACACTGCAAATTAACGCGTTATTAAAATTATCGCAATTAATTATGAGTATCAAAGGTGGCTATTCAATGCGAGAGCATTTTAAATTTGGCCCATTGAAGGACCCGTAGGCTACTTGGCAGTGCTACGCCACTTCCTGCTTGCGTCGCTAAGCAAACAAACAAGGCAGAGTAACAACAAACATGGACGCGACTCAGGGGAGCGAGGCGACTAAATCGTTACTAGGGCCTTTGAACGGCAAGTTTATTTTTAAAAAGAACTTAGACGGGACTATCAATAAGAACGTGGTGATTTGCACTTTTTGTAAAAAGGAGTTTTCTTATGACCGAAGCTGCTCCAGTCTGACGTATCACTTAAATGCTAAACATGTCCGGACAAGTTCCACTGTTACGGGTGCTAGTGCATGAGCACTAGCACCCGTAACAGTGGAACTAGTGCTACGGTGAGCTCACTTCGCCAACCCACGCTTGCTGAATTTTATTTATTTAACTGTATTTGTATTGCATTTTTGAATAATGCACCTGGCCTAATTGGTTTGCTAATTTGCTTGACCTTATACTTTTGAATTCCATTTATGAAGCAGCAGACTTCACCAATAAAAATTTGGATTTCAAATCTTCTCTTCTTAGTGTATTCTATTGATTAGTCATGCACAAAAATTTTTTAATTGCCTACAATTCAAATACTTTATTTAGGGGTCTTTAGCAGATATGACATTAAAATGAAATTAAGTAGATTAATTAATTACAAATCCTGTAATTAATTAGATTAATTTTTTTAAGCACTAGTTTGAAGTAATCCATCTGATTGCTCTAAACACATAAATAATGCGGTGAGACTAGTGCGTAATGTTGCGTGATGGATGCAATGCACTGAGAGGAGTACACAAATGGAACAATGATGCCCAATCCGCTGATATGGATTATATGGATCTGTGATCTTGGATCTTTGCGCTGAACTATCCAGGATTACACAGAACAACCTGACGAAAATACTCACCACTCTAGTTTATCAGCCGACAGGTATGTGTTTGGTATGATTACCACTGTATAATATTTACCTTTCTATGTAGAGATTCTTTTAATCATTTCTTAAAAATGGTTCACAGGGTTAACATGCACTGTTTTCAGTAAGTGATCATGAGAGAATTGAACTCTCTGGGGAAGAACTCATGACAGCATTGTAGGTTGCTGAAAGTATGCCAAATTGGGTATATCGAGTATATTCCTTACACACACAGGCCCTGCCCTGGGCCTGCCCTGGGCCTGCCCTGGGCCTGCCCTGGGCCTGCCCTGGGCCTGCCCTGGGCCTGCCCTGGGCCTGNCCTGCCCTGGGCCTGCCCTGGGCCTGCCCTGGGCCTGCCCTGGGCCTGCCCTGGGCCTGCCCTGGGCCTGCCCTGGGCCTGTGTGTGTACTTACTCACACAGGGAGAAACAGACAGTGAAGATGAGATGAGAGCTTGTTAACATAAACAAGGCGATAAATGTCGAACAGTGGCAACAAAAAGTGCAGAGTTTCCACGGACAACCAATGCAGCACTGAACGCGCATTGGAAAGATATAATCCTGGTAGCACTTTGCAAAGTATGCGCAGGTGGAGGCACATTAGTGCACTGCCTCTACTGGTTCACTACGTGGCCAAGGAGAGGGTATCTTTGATCAGAATGTCCAGTAAATCCACAGATGAAGTACAAAAAGTGTGAAACAAGATGGAGTTGTTACTTTTATACTAACAAGCTTTGGGTAATGCAGCAAAACACTGAATTAACAAACAATATAAAATGAAACAAAGCGAAAAAATGCATTTCCCAAGACTGGGAGATATTATAGGAAATAGTGATTCATGGATTTACTACTTGTCATTAAATATAGTCTGTAACTATAGAAGGATATAGAAGTGTTGAACAAACCACACAAAAAGTTTACAACTACGTTTCCGAGAATAACATGTAATACACCTACTGTTTTAGAAACCCTGCTTGATTCAATGTTAAAAGAAACTTACTTCAAGTGTGTTCTGTTGGATCTTGAGTTCTTTGGCACTGAGGGTTGCTCTCTTGGTGCTGATGACCCCCGAGAGGAGTTCATTCGCTTTGCAAAGCCACGCCTCAAACTCATTCCTTCTGGATTTGCAGTGTCCTGTGTTCCCCTGCAAAACCCCAAACAACTTTGACACCTCATACAAAAGATTACTTTTAAAAAGCACACAAGAAGAAGTTAGCAGGTGTTTTACATTCTTTTTGAGTCTAAATGAGAATATCTGGCTGATGTGTGGACTGCAAATTAGTTGGTGGGAAATGCTCACCAATCATAAAATGTTGTATTTACCATTCCTGTTATCAATTTTATGTGTGGTTGTTAAAGCTTTACCGCCTGTCAAATCAGTACAAAAAATAACTACTCCAACAAAAGTTTGAAACTCATTAAACCAAAGGACATGAAATATGAACACCTGGGCTTAGCCCTTCCCCTGCCTTCTCAATAGCCGATTTTGCCCCCTCACCATAGCTGACCTTTGCGGTTAATGCTGCTACTCCTCTGTCTCCAACCAAGATGCGATTGTCAGCCCCTGTTGATTTATTATCAGGGCATTCATCTGTGTCTTTTGAAACACCCTGGATGCCATGAATGCTGCAAGCAGAGGAATCTATTTCATCGACTTCAAATGAGTGCTGACTGTGCATCTCTGTCCTTGATGGAGTGAGATGTTCATCATCTTGTGCAGCCAGCATAAGGTGACCTTCAGCATGGCCCTTGATCCATGTACTCTGCCTCGTCATCAACCCCTCCCCTGCCTCTCCTTCCAGACTATCTCCTTGTCCAGGCCCAGGGCTTGCAAAAGCTCCAAACTTTTCTGTTGACTGATTTTTTTGGCCTGTCTGACTCCTTGAGCCTCCTGCCCAATAATGCTCCTCCCCTTGACTGAGCTCTGTTAGGAATGAACTGTCAACAGACAGGGCTCCAACCCTCCATGCTGTCGGCTCCATGGAGCTGTTCAATAACCTGAGAGAAAAAAAATACAAAGGGATAAAGGACTGAACTGGTGAGTAATGCAAAACTAACATTTGTTTGTCTAATACATCACAACAACACAAAGACACTGACAGACACTGACTGAAAAGATGTGCTTTCTATTACACGCCACATTCACATTCACATACTGATGGCACAGCCAACAGGGGAAATAGTATCAGTATCTCCCACACTTGGAGATTCAGAATAGACCAGCAGTGGATGGAACCCCCAACTTTCCAATTAGTGGATGGCCCAGTCTACCACCTGCACCAAAGCTACCCTCTTCATTTCTTTATTTTTCTCGATTCTGAGTCACAAGGTTTCGATTTGATTTAATATTGATTCAGGTAAGGATATTTCATCATACAATGTACCAATTTTGTTGATATGAAAGACATTCTCTGAGAATTAAAGCTATACACTGAACAAGGAAACCTCTCACTTGGTGCATTGTTAAAAATATTAGGTAGGTCTGTCACAATAACACATTTTTTTGGACGATATTTTGTCCAAGAAATGATTGCGATAAATTATATTATTGTCATCACTGTGAAACCATTTTAAACCACTAACACTTATAATGTTAAAAGCATAGCATATTCATGCAAGTGCACCCTGTCAAAGAGCAATGAATGAACATTCAGTCTAACTTTTGAATGAGAATATTATTTAGGATATTAAACCACGGACAACCACAAGGCTCTCTGGCTCTGTTAACAAAATTGCTCTTGAATAAATTAACATTTTGCATAGACTATAAACAGGAAGGTAATGCTTTAGATAAGCTTTTAGCTTTGTATTGTATTAGGTTAGTATTACAGCATTTGACCTAGGATTTTGTGTGTGTGTGCTTGTCATATTTCCAATATGTTTAAATATGTCTCTTATAAACTCTGGAGTGAATCAAACAAACACAAAATACATTCAGGTCATAATAACTTGTGATTGTTAAAATAAAAAGTGAGTGCAGGTCAGCAGGAATGTGGAGGGAGGTTACTCCGACAGAGACTCTGACATAGTACATACCAACCGCTCTGTCTGCTCTCATCCTGAAGCAAACGCTGATTGTTTATCATTAATGCTCCATCGTGGAAACCCTATTTTCACACTTTTTCTCGCCACTGTTCCACAATCAGCAGCTGGTTCACCACATTTTCTCTCTGTTTCACTTTCTGTTCACTCACTCACTGTGTCAACAGGATTACTCACACACATTTTGTGGATTAGTGCCTTTGTAAAAAAGGACTTTGTCAACCTGGAAAAACCATCAGGAGGTTTCTTTTCATGTGATGAAAGTTCTGGAGAGGCAGGTCCTGTCCCACCTCAGACCACAGGTGAAATCATCACTGGACCCATTTCAGTTCGCCTACCAGCCTCATCTGGGAGTGGATGATGCTATTATCTACCTGCTACAGCGAGCCTACTCACATCTAGACCAGGCTGGTCGCACAGTGAGAATCATTTTCTTTGATTTTTCCAGTGCGTTCAACACCATCCAGCCAGTTCTTATGAGGGAGAAGCTACAGGTTATGGGGGTAGACACATCCACCGTCTCCTGGATTACTGACTATCTGACAGGCAGACCTCAGTTTGTCCTACTGGGCAGTGTTCTGTCTGATGTGGTGATGAGCACTATAGGAGCTCTGCAGGGGACTGTACTGTTGCCCTTCCTCTTCACACTGTACACCTTGGACCTTCAGTACAACACTGAGTCATGCCACTTACAGAAGTTCTCTGATGACTGCAGTGGTTGGGTGAATAAGTTTGAGGGAAGGAAGGTGAGTACAGAGCACTAGTGGATGGTTTTGTAGAGTGGGCTGGGAAAAATCATCTGCTTCTGAATGTGGCCAAGACCAGAGAGAGGATGATCGACTTCAGGAGGAAGAGGATGGTTTCACAGCCACTGCGTATTCTAGGAGAGGATGTTGTGACAGTTGAGGATTACAAATACCTAGACGTCCACATCGTCAAACGAACTGAAGTGGAAAACCAACATCGTTGTTGTCTACAAGAAAGGAATGAGCAGACTCTATTTCCTGAGGAAGCTGAGATCTTTCAACGTGTGCAGCAAGATGTTGGAAATATTCTATCAGTCTGTTGTAGCCAGTGTTCTGTATTTTGCTGTGGTCTGCTGGGGGAGCAGCACTGGAGCTGGTGACACCAACAGACTGAACAAGCTGATTAAGAAGGCTGGCTCCGTCATTCGCTGCAAACCGGACACTTTCGAAGTGGTGGTGGAGAGGAGGGTGCTGAATAAGCTCTTATCCATCATGGACAATCAAGACCACCCTCTCCACCACCTTCTTTCCTGCCCACAGCAATAACACTGTATAATTCCCACCTCTGATAGTACGTAATAGTAATTACTGCTGCAATAACTGTCAATTATTTATTTAGCTCATATTATATTCATATCAATTTTACCACATATAGTTATATCTATATTTAGTCATGTAAAATACTGCAATTTTGCACCTTGTCTTTTGTGTCTTACTCTCTGTGCGACACAACAATTTCCTAACTGGGAACAATAAAGTCTGTCCGTCCGTCTGTCCGTCCATCCATCTATCTTCTCTGTCTCTATTTCTGCAGCGAAAAGCTCTTTTCACCAATCCTCAATTTCCAACCCCAAAAAACTCTCCATGTTTTCCGACCTCCTTGTCCAGTCCCCTTCCTCCTTCCACCGTTCTATCAAGCAACTTTGTCCACTTTTTTACAAAAAAGATAGTTGACATAAACTCCTCATTTTCAAACCCGCCTTCTGTAATTACATTTCCATCAACTTCATCTTCATCCCCTTCTCTTTCCTCTTTCATTTCCCTCTCTCCCAAGTTCTTACCCTGGTAACCTCCGACCCGCCCAACCACCTTGACCCCATCCCCTCTCACATTCTCCAGTCTATAGCTCCTGACTTTCTTCCTTTTCTCTCCCATCTTATTAACACAAGAGTAAATCCTCTCCTGAAGAAAATCACACCTTCAACCCATCCGAAACAATCAACAACAAACCTGCCTCTTATCCTCTTTCTTTCCAAAGTACTCAAGCGTGCTATCTTTATTCAACTCTACTCCTATCTTCACCAGAACAACCTTCTTGATCTTCACCAGTCTGGTTTCAAGGCAGGTGACTCAACTTAGACTGCCCTCCTTGCTGTTTCTAAGCAACTTCACACTGTGAGAGCAGCCTCTCTCTCCTCTGTCCTTGTCCTTCTAGAACTTTCTGATGCATTTGACATAGTGAACCACCAGATCTTTGTTTCCTCCCTTCAGGATCTGGGTGTCTCAGGCTCGGCTCTCTCCCTGCTTTCATCCTACCTTGACGAGACCAAACTACTTTTCCTTCCAGAGAAAGGCTCTCCCACCCATGACCTTACTATTACCATTGACCCCACCCAGACTTCTAGGAACCTGGGTGTGACACTCGCCAGTCAACTCTCCTTTACTGCCAACATTACTGCAACAACCCGCTCATGTAGATACAAGCTGCACAACATCAGGACAATATGTCCCCCTCTCACTCAGAAGGCGGCAGAGGGTCTGGTCCGGGCTCTGGTCACATCTAGACTACTACAACTCTCTCCTGGCTGGTCTACCTGCTAGTGCTATCCGACCTCTTCAGCTCATCCAGAATGCAAGTTCACTCACACTACTTCGCTCCTCCGCTCTCTTCACTGGTTACCAGTGACTGCTCGCATCTGTTTAAAATAACTAGTACTTACGTACCGTGCTGTGAATGGATCAGGCCCAGCCTACAATCAAGTCAAACATCAGCCTGTCCACTCCACTCTGCATCTACCAATCACCTTGCTGCTACCTCATTGCGAGCTAATCAATCAACAAAATCAAGACTGTTTGCTGTCCTGGCTCCTAAATGGTGAAACGAGCTTCCCATTTACATTAGAACAGTAGAAAGTCTATACATCTCTTCAGACTATACACCATGGTTAATAATGAAAAAAAAAAAAAATATATATATATATTGCACTTACATGTAGCACTTGTAGTTTGGCTTATTTAAAGCAAATTGTACTTACTTGATTCTTGGTTCTGGGTTAGTACCCTCATGGTTGCTGCACTTTTTGTAAGTCGCTTTGGATAAAGCGTCAGCTAAATGAAATGTCAATGGCATCAGCCACCTACAATGGTATCCTGTGTTCTGTCCCTAGACAGCTCAGTACCCATCCATTATTCCTGGCAGTTTTGACTCTTTTACTCAGTGCAGTCAGTAGGAAAATCTTACTTCCTTTACCTTTTTGTAATTAGGTACTTTATTAATGGGTCTGAGGATATGCAATTAATAACCTCACCTCTTCTAGTTAGGGTTGTTCGGTATACCGGTGCTAAATTGGTACCGGGATGAGTCTGGTGACAGAGAGAGAGAAAGAGAGAGAGAAACAGGAGCAGAGAGAGAATGGTAGCTGCTGCAACCATCACCACGCCGCAACTCGTAGATAAACCAGATGCGCGAAGTGCTACATGGAATTACTTCGGCTTGAAAACAAATGAGCACAGTGGTGCATCGGTGTTACAAAACATATGTGGCCAAGGGTGGAAACACTTCCAACCTGACAAAACACTTGAAGGACAAGCACCCAGACCTGCACAAGGACTTCAGAGAACTACAGGTAATAACTTATATACCCATGAAAAAAAGCCACATTCAGTGCTAAAAGCAAGCAACGCCAGCCCCCTTCACTCTCCACAAAAGTAGCACTGGAAAAAATGTAAGCCTGTCTTTGTGGTATTTTATTTTATTTACTGATGCATAATGTTATAGTTCTAAGATTTTCTATTAAAATAAAGTCAATAATGACATTTTTTGTGTTCTCTTTTATGAAAAGTACCGAAAAGTATCGAAATACATGTTTTAGGTACCGGTACCGTGACAACACTACTTTAGTGAACACACCAGCCACATAGGAAAACCCGGGGTTAACTGAGCCAGCCGATGGCTATTAGTACACATTATTCAGTAAGGCCAGAGTATGTTGAACTTCATAGAACTTTTTGTCATACATTACTGTAGTATAATTAGCAGATAAACAAATTTAAAAAAAATCCACCAAGGGGAAGACCTGCATTTATTTGGCCTCATTATATCATCAACTGTGTGACAACAGTGACAAAGGACAAGAGAAAATGGATCATAGTTTGTAGAAGAGGGCAGATTTATCTGTATTGTGACCCTTCCCCTTCCAAATTTGTCCAAGACGGGAGAACCGGCACGATTCTAAGACATTCAGAGAAACTATCCCATTCCATTAAATTTTAAATGTTTGCATCTTTTCACCCTCATTTAGCATTTGTGGAACAGTCTAAACATCACCACATAATTGGCATAACAAACTAAAAAAACCACCTCATTATTGTACCCTTTTTTCAGATACCTGTGAAGATTGAGACTCATGTTGTAGAGGTACAACCAGGTCTTTCGTAGCCGCTTCATGTCTTGCAGAATGTGTATCTGCCCCTCCTTTGAAGTTCTTTCCAAAACCCCCTGACCCTGGACCTCCATCTGATGCAGCTGAATCTCCTTCTCTGGGAATTCTCCCAGTGCTCTCTGTGGACAGGGACATATAGTAGTCAAAGATAGAAAACATGAGGGTTAACAGTCAGACTTTATTAACAGTCAAACTACATTGTATCATGGAGTAATCATTATGTCTTATTTGTGTAAACCACCATATATTGTATTTCTTCCTCGTGTTTTAGTGGCTTTCATACAATGTGACATTTTGCATCAGTGTATGAGTAGTTTTTCCCAAAATTAAACTTCATTTTCAATATAAAGTCACAGGATATCTGCAGTATACTGTGTATTAGATTTTGCGGAGATAGCTATTCTTCTGTGAAGTACACATTTGTCAAATAAAAATGACCCCCGATTTCCACTTATCTCTCCTCTTTACCCAATTTATTTCCTCTCACCCCAAAACTGAGTCTGGTTCTACTAGAGGTTTCTTCCACTGTTGTCAAGTGCTAGCCCATTGTGGAGACTGTTGTTTATCTGTAATATCGTACGGTCTTAATGTGTAAAGTGCCTGAAGATAATGCATGATGTGATTTAGCACTATTTAAATAAAATTTAATTAAAGTAAAAATATGGCGAGATTTGTGAATATCGGCTATATGTGATGCCCATGAAAGTGTTGAAGTTTATTGTTAATAATAATTTGTAAATGTGTGTATTTTCTGTCGCCTTTTAATTATTCTGTTTGTGTATTCTATTTATTTGGAAAGGAAAAACTGATTTCACATCAGGAGGATTGAGCTATTGCGGCACCTTCTGGTCAGTAGGCAGTGTAAGACCATGGCCCCAAGGGACAGCTAGTGTCAAGCGCAAGCTCCGCTACTTCCTCCTAACTGTGAGGAACTCAACAACGGCAAGCCTGGTCTCCATGTTTACTATTTCCTCCTGTATTTCAGGTTGGTAGTGTGCATAAAACCCAATGTGAACTTGCTGCTGTCAGTTGGGGTTGAGAGATTGTTTTGTGTTTGACAATGAGATGGGTGTATAGGAAGTTGTTTTGTACTGACATGAGTGGTGCTCACGGAGAGTAGCCTGAATAGCCGCGTGCCCTTGCACATGCTGTTAGCGGACATGCTAGTGGCAGAAAGTTATCTTGGGCCGCTCATATCTATTATTTTGAATATTTATATGAAAAGACTGGCTCTGTGTGTGTGTTTTGCTGAACATGAGAAGTATTTTTGCATTGTGTATGAAAAGAGAATGTTTTATATACGAAATGTTAATATATATAACCGTGAGGCACTCAGCAATGGCAAGCGATGTCTCTGTGTTTACTATTTCCTCCTGTATTTCAGACTTTATATGTGATTATGGGTGCCGCAGCCTGGAAGCTGTAACACATACAGCTAAAATTTGATTGATTGAATATTATGCGCTGGGGGAGTGCATGTGTCAGCACAATAGAGAGAGAAAGAGAGCGAGTGGAGTCATGAATGAATGTGCGAAGCTATGAAGAAAGATTTTACTCATCTAAGAGAAGTATCGATCATTATGTGCTGATCACGGTTGATATTGTGTTGGCCATTTCAAACCAATCAACATTTAAACTGTTGCACAACGTCAGTTGAGTTGGTGTAAGTGTGTCTCTCTGTGTGTCTGCCAGTCAGTGCAAGAGAGAGAGAGAGAAAAGTGAATGTGTGTGTGTGTGTTTGCGCAGGCATACGCATGTGCCAGTGGGATATTTTATGCCATTATCTTGAAAACCACTCTCACTTTTCCCTCAAGTTCTAGGACATACAAAAGCTACGCAATTCAGTTATAGCAATCGACCGCTTAAATGTGATCACTCTAAGTGGTTTCCACTGTACTTCATCCTTTCTGTTATTTTGAGCTAAGTATATCACAGATGTTTTATTAAGACTTCCAGAAATTATGTAAAATTGTGGAAAAGGGGCATAATGTCTCATTTATGTTGAATGAAACTACTAAATACACAAGGACTGTAACGGGTATGGTTTGACCCCAAATGCAGCACAACAAGCATGGACAGTTGGTAACAGTCTTTATTCTCAGCGTAGCTCACAACAGATCAGGGGGCAGGCAATACAGACAGCAAAAGGCATAAGACTTGGTCAGGGGTAGAGGTGATTACCAGGTGATTACCAGGTTTCAGACGAGGGACACAGCGGGAGCACTATGATGAGGCACCCTGGACGAGACAGCCGCCTTAGTGGGCTGGTCTGGGTGTTGTTGATGGAAGTCAGCAATGAGATGGGGTCCCAGGTTGTGACAGGCAGGAACCCATGACCTCTCTTCTGGCCCATAACCCTCCCAGTCGACCAAATACTGGATGCCCCTTCCACGTCGTCACATCAGACGTCGCACAGTGTAGACAGGACCTCCATCAACCAGGCGAGGAGGTGGAGGAGGAGGAGTAGCGGGAACCAGCGGACTCTCTTGAACAGGCTTGACCCTGGAGATGTGGAATGTGGGATGGACCCTCATGGAACGAGGGAGCTGGAGCTGGACTGCAGCCGGGCTGATGATCTTCTGGATCTTGAAAGGACCAATAAACCTGGGTGCCAGTTTCTTAGAGTCGACCCGCAGTGGAAGGTCCCGGGTGGCAACCAAACCTTTTGGCCAACCTGATAGGTGGGAGCCTGGGTGCGCCGACGATTGGCGGTCATAGTGTAGCAACCCACAGACCGAAGGAGGGTGGTTCTGGCTCGGGCCCGGTTCAGCCATTTGGCTGAACCGGTCCACAACAGTCAGGATGGTGGTATGGCCCTGAGAAGGTGGTAGACCTATGACAAAGTCTAGAGAGATGTGCGACCAAGGGCGATGGGGCACAGGAAGAGGTTGCACGAGTCCAGCAGGGGCCTGATGGGAGGGTTTGTGTTGACTGCAGAGCGGGCAAGCCTTGACTGCAGTACCTCCTTGGTCCGGTGGATCCCCGGGTGGCAGGTTAGGTGAGTGCTGTGGGCCCACTGCAGAACCTCAGAGCAGCCGGGACGAAGAACCGGTCAGGAGGGCAGGTGCTGGGCCCCGGTTGGTTCTCCAAAGCTGTTTTAACTCTCTCCTCGACCCCCCAGGTGAGGGCAGCAACCAGGCGATCGGACGAAAGGATGGTGCTACAACCTGAAGATGATTCCTCCTCTTCCTTGAGGAATTGGCGAGACAAGGCATCAGGCTTAACATTGCAGGATCCTGGGCGGTAGGAGAGAGTAAAGTTAACCGTGTGAAGAACAAGGACCACCTAGCCTGCCTGGAATTTAGCCTCCTGGCCAACCGAATGTACTCCAGGTTCTTGTGGTCGGTCCAGACCAGAAACGGCTGCTTGGCCCCCTCCAACCAATGGCGCCATTTCTCCAGTGCCAGCTTAACCGCTAGTAACTTGCAGTTGCCAATGTCATAATTCATCTCTACTGGAGTAAGTCGCCGAGAGAAGAAGGCGCAGGGATGGAGCTTCTGGTCGTTGGCTGTCCGTTGTGAGAGGACCCCCCCTTCCCCAACGTCAGAGGCATCCACCTCCACCACAAACTGTCTTTCGGGGTCTGGCATGCAAAGGATGGGGGCAGAGTTGAAGCGGGCTTTGAGGGCTTTGAAGGCTGCAGCAGCAGGAGAAGACCAGCTGAAGGGGATCTTGGAGGAGGTAAGGGCAGTGAGAGGGGCTGCCATCGTGCTGTACCCACGGATAAAGCGGCGGTAGAAATTGGCAAAGCCAAGGAACCTCTGTAGCTGCTTCCTGGACTCAGGAATGGGCCAGGCGGTGACAGCGGAGACCTTGTTGGGATCCATCTGGATGCTCCCCTGGCTGATGACGGACCCCAGGCGACCCCAGGCGACCGAGGAGGCATGGAACTCACACTTCTCGGCCTTTACGAAGAGGGAGTTCTGCAGAAGTCGTTGGAGGACCACTTGGACATGGTGGACGTGATCCTCCTTGGTTCTGGAGAAGATGAGAATGTCATCCAGGTAGACAAAGACATATTTGTTGAGCATGTCACGGAGCGCATCATTTACGAGGACCTGGAAGACGGCAGGGGCGTTGGTAAGGCCAAAAGGCATGACCAGATATTCATAATGCCCGGTTGGAGTGTTGAAGGATGTCTTCCACACGTCCCCCTCACGGATGTGGACCAGGTAGTAGGCATTGCGGAGGTCTACTTTAGTGAAGATGGTGGCCCCCTCCAGGAGCTCGAAGGCTGATGCTATGAGAGGGAGAGTGTATCGGTTCTTCACCGTGATGTCATTCAGGCCCCTATAGTTGATGCAGGGCCTCAAGGTCTTGTCCTTCTTTTCTATGAAGAAAAACCCTGCACCAGCAGGGGATGGGAATGGGCGGATGATGCCTGCTGCCTGGGAGTCATTAATGTATGCCTCCATGGCCTTTCTTTCAGGTGCAGACAGGGAGTACAGACGACCCCGAGGTGGACTGGTGCCAGGCTGTAGGTCAATGGCGTAGTCATAGGGACAGTAAGGGGGCAGAGAGGTGGCCTTGGCCTTACTGAAGACCTCTCGGAAGTCATGGTACTCTGGCGGAACCCCAGAGAGGTCAGGAGATGGGATGGTACTGGACCGGGGCTGCGGGGCAGAGGCTTGCTTCAGGCAGACTTGATGGCACCCGGGACTCCACCCTCGGATGGACCCCGTCGCCCAGTCGATGTGGGGGTTATGACGGCGGAGCCAGGGGTACCCCAGAATGAGAGGGATGTGAGGTGACTTCAGGATGTGGAAACAGATTTTCTCATAATGGTTCCCGGAGAGGAGCATCCACACGGGTCTAGTCTGGTGAGTGACGGTCCGGCAGGGGCTGGCAGGGGCAGTGGAACCCTGTCGATGTCAAGCTGCTGTGCCAGTTCGTCGTCAATGAGGGAGACATCTGACCCAGAGTCAATGAATAAAGTCAAGGTGTGTGTGCCCCCTGCCAGCAGTAAGCGGGCATGGCAGAGAGGTCGCCTTTTGGGGAACAGTTCAGAGGTTGGACTCACCAGTATTTTCCCCGCTACCGGTGAGTCCAGGCTTTTACTGGACAACAGGACCGGACTGCCGTGTCGTCAGTTCGATGAGCCCATCCAGTGAAGTGGGGAGATCATAGGAGACCAGCTCATCCTTGATGTAACTCTCCAGACCCAGAAGGTAAGCATCACACTGGGCTTCAATATTCCAACTGCTCTGACAGGCCCAAGTGTGAAAGTCTATGGAGTAGTCGGCCACGGTCTGACCCCCCTGGTGTAGACTCAGCAGACCCCCAGTGGAATCCGGACCCCGGGAGTACTCCCCAAATACCTTGCGGAGCTCGGTGGCGAAGGCTTGGAAGGAGATGCAGGCTGGAGTCTGACGCTCCCACTCGGCGGTTCCCCACAGGCGAGCCCTCCCAGTGAGGTGGTTGATGGTAAAAGCCACCCTGGCCTCCTCAGAAGCAAAGGTGTGCGGCTGCAGGGCAAACAGGATCGAACAGTTTGTGAGGAAAGGATTACAGTTCTCAGGATCCCCCGCATAGCGTTCCGGGGCCCCCACCCGTGGCTCAGAGAATGGCCCAGGGGACGCTGGCGGAGGTGTAGCAGAGGAGGACACTGCAGTAGGGGCTGGAGTTGTCATCTGTGAAAGGACAGTGGTGAGTTGCTGTACTTGTGTGGCTAACAAAGCTAGCGCCTGCTCCTGGCTAGCAGCTGCTTGCTTCTGGGTGGTGACAGCTTGATGTATCCCTGCTGCAGTGGAGTTGAGCAGAGCCTCATGCTGCTGAAAAATGTTTTCCACACTCTCAAGGCGTGAGTGTGGTGACGCTGTGTGCGCTGGATCCATGTTGTGGCCAGATTGTACTGTAACGGGTATGGTTTGAACCCAAATGCAGCACAACAAGCATGGACAGTTGGTAACAGTCTTTATTATCAGCATGGCTCACAGCAGATCAGGTGGCAGGCAATACAGACAGCAAAAGGCAGAAGACTTGGTCAGGGATGGAAGGCAGAGGTGATTACCAGGTTTCGGACGAGGCAGGTTAGTCAGGAACAGGCAGGGTCGGCAACGAAGAATCAGTCCGGAGATAACTGCTGGAAAGTCTTGCATGAAGGCGTAGAACAATCTGGCAACTGACTGAGAGTGGAGCTGGTGAATATATACTGGGCTGATTGCAGGTGATGAGGAGCAGCTGTGTTGGATTGGTGAAAGGGTGTGGCTTGGCTGGCAGATGAAGCAGAAGCGGAGTCCATGGAAAAGTACTGAGAGGTGGAAGGATGGGAGACTGATTGAGAAGTGGGAGGATGGGAGACTGACTGAGAGGTGGGAGGATGGGAGACTGACTGTGTCAAGGACTTGCTATAAGTTCCTCTAAAAACAGTTGATTGTGAGCACAGAAGTGTAAGAAAAACACACAAACAAACCTCTGCTTCATGTTGGCGGCCCTCTATGCTCCATTCTCCTGCGGAGCTGTGAAATGACTTCAACTTTTGCTTCATTATCATCAGCCACTTCTCTATGTTCAGCAAGCTGTCATGGAAGCTCTCATGAACTGTGATGCTCTCCTCACTCTCATGCACCTTTGTCTGCAAACAAAAATGGTAAGTAGGTAAGAGAAAATAATTAGGAGCATCACACCAATGTAAGAGTATGTTATATTATTTCCCTTCTGCTTTTGGCTATTTGAACTGCTCTCTTGTTATGCTAGTAATAAATAGACTAACATTTATTCACAAAAGCAACTTGAGCATTTCACCCTGATTGAATTAAGTAAAACTTGAATTACTGCATTCAAAACCCTCCATAAGTAAAATGTAAGTGACACAACAATGTTGTCCTATCCATATTTATAAATATCTTCATTGCTGAACTTGTGGATGGTAAGCGGGAGACAAGAAAAACACTAAAAGTGACTTTCTCCTCATTTGAGGAATCTGTTATGGCTTCATCAGTAAAGTGAATGATATCCTTCAACAAGATGACTCACTAATCCTCACTTATGGCCAGGGAAACAAAATCTTTTAATCTTTCACTTATTTACCCCCAATCTTTCAAGTAAAATAAAAGGAAAGTACTTGTTGTAAAGAAAGAAGACACCCTGCAGTGACAATGAAGTAAAAAGAGGGGACTAAGGTACTAAGGCAGGTTTAGCATTTTTTGCACCTTATCATAGTTGCACGTATTTATGGTTATTCGCCCAAACTGGTAGGTGAAGAGCATTTTTTTCTGTCA